ATGCTTACAGCACTTTTATTCATATTAGCTAAAACTGGAAACTATCCAAATGGCCCTCACTGGGTAAATGGTTAAACAAACTGTGGTACACTCATAACATGAAATCCTATTCAGAAGTGAAAAGTAATGAACTATTAATCAATGCACCAGTTTAGACTGATCATGAGTGAATTAGGCTGAGGGAAAAAAGCCACTCTCACAAGATTACATAATGTATGGTTCTGTCTATATAGTATTCTTGAAATGGCGAAATTATATTATTGAGAACAAATTGTTGGTTGCTAGCGGTTAAGGAGACAGGTGGACGTGGTTATAAAGGGACAACAGAAGGGATCCTTGTGCTGATGGAACTGTTTGGTGTTGTGATTGTGGTGGTGGACACATGAACCTACACATGTGATAAAATTGTATAGAACCAACCACACACGTGTGTGCATACAAATTTTAAAACAACTGAGGAAATTTGAATAAGATTGTAGCAATGTCAGTATCCCTGTGATATTACAAGATGGAGGAAATTATGTAAAGGGCACAGAGGATCTCTCCATTATTTCTTATAACTGCATATAAATCTACAATTACCTGAAATGGAAAGTTTAATTAAAAAGTATGTATACAAATAGATGACTGAATATGTAAAGAAATTAACTGAAGGAAATATAGGAGAATATAGGAATTATAGGAGAATTGGTTAGGAAATACAGAAGGGAAGAAAAGGGCTCAGGGATGTGCAGAGATTATTTCTCTAGAAACATTTATAATGGAAATTTAGACCAAACTAGTCGCCCTTGTGGCCTATTAAATCACTGAAAATCTGTGTATTTCTAAGGCAGGAATGTCTCTTTAACTTTTATTTTTAGGAAACTGCAATTCTAATAGGTAATACTAGCAAGTAAGAGGAAGACTCTGTCAACACTTGTCCTTCTCTTTGTGTGCACAGCACTGTTGTACCTTTGGAGTGGGAAACATCAAAGGCCAGAATCCTTATATGTGTTCTTAAGTACATCAACAACTTGGAAACATTTAAAAAGCAAGATAATCTGTATTTCAGAATTAAGTATTTACATGGAAAAATATTAGCAAGAGGGGTTGGGGTCAGAGAGAGATAGTAAGCATGTCAAAGAAAAATATAGAATGTCCTAAAGTTAATTTTTTTAGTGATAAACATCACCTAGAGCTGATCTTTGTCACCATTCTTTCCCCAAGGCACAAAGTAGAACAGTGCAACAACAGATTTTGACTGGGCCTGTCCTCAATTTTACTTGAGTGAGAAATAAGTTTTGAGGTTTAAATTGACTGCCATTTATAATCTCTATTAGATGTGAAAAATTCCCTTCTCGCTTCTAAAATGCTAATGCTACTTATGAGACTCTTCCCCAGTTTCCAGTGTTTCACTAGTCATAGGAAGCTGGCTCTGGAGGAAGAGTTTGAGAATCCACGTGAGGCTCTTCTGATCATCTCTGGGGTTAGGTGTTTTAGGCAAACAACTCCTTAGAGGGAGTTCTGAGTTTCAGTCTCTTGAGGTAATCGTGGGGGAGAACTGAGGATGGTTCTTGGAAATAGAGTTGAGAAAAACATCAGTAGGCTAATTCATAACTTCCCCTTGGATATTTAAAGATTCTCTGTAATTTGTCAAAACTTTTTCTAAGCTTTTAAAGAAGTCTTATTTTAAATATATGTAGAAAGAGCCAAAAATAAATTTTCAAAAACTTGCCTCTTTGTTGACAAAAATGTTGCATCATTTATGAAAAACAAAGGCTGTACTTGTGGATCTTTAAAAATCATAATAAATTATGGTGCATTATTAATTTAAGGCTTTTAGAAATATTTTAAGAATGATAAGTATTAGAAATGTGGATGAGTCCTTGGGGGCAGATTTTTTGTATATGTGAAAGCTGAAGTAAAAACAAACCATCCCTTACTTAAAAAGAGGTTTAAGATGAAGTGGCTAAATCTCAAATTTCCCTTTTTGCTTCATTGTGTCAGTTAATCTAGCTGTGGGTTATATTTATCTACTGTGAAGTCCACTGATGCATGCAAAGCTGAGCAGAGTACAATTTTCCCCAGTGGGTCTCCTTTCTCTGGGTGTTTGTAGCTTCAGTGTGTGGGGTCAGCTGGGGAAAGCTTGAAGGGCTAAGATGTCAGCTCTTGTAAAAGAACTAAGATCCTATCTTAGAAAGGGAATGGGACAGCTGATCTTTAAAAAATTGTATTTCTTATTTCCTATAAAGCAGTTAGTTAGAAATATGTACAATGGTGATGATTATCAATATTGTAAATTGGACAGTCTGTTAAATTCTGTGCTATTTAAAGAATAATTCTGTAAATCTTTGTAATTAGCTTAGGCTTTTCTTTAAGGATATTAGAATTTTTATATCTCTTAACATTAAATGTTTTAACTTATATTTAGTTAATTTGAACCTTTGGCCTAGATTAAGTATTAACTAGTTAAACTAGTTCAGATTATTTATCTTCCTATTGTCTAATATAGTGTTTTACTCTTTTTGAGATGAATGTTAAATACTGTTGTATATTTCAAATGAATAGAAATTGTCAAAAGTACCTTAACTTGGCTTTCTAACTTTTTTATTAAAAATGTTAGTTTAAAGTTATGAGATTTATTTGATGTTATTACTCATTTAAATCATTTACATGTTATCATAAATCAAAATTGGTTTTCAGTCAATCATTAGGAATTCCTACTCAAAGTAAATGCACATATAAGGTATCTAGAAAGCATTAATTTGTGAAGGAGCATAATTAGAGAGGCTAGCTATAATGGCCATCAAGCTACATGTAATGGATTGAATAATATTTTAATTCAAGATCCATATTTCTAATGAGAAAATACGGAGATCATAGGAAACCAGACTTTGGAAATTTGGAAAAAGTAAAGATAACTCCTAAATTATCCAGCAAGTTATAAAGATATAGCTTTCTCAGCCTGCATACTTATGCTAGCATAACAATATTTATCTGATAAGTGTTAATGGGTTGCCTCGAAAGATACGATTCTAAGGGTCAATAAAGCACACGGTAGGAAAAATTTATTTAACATGATCAGTCTGGGTTCAAAAAAATCAAGACTTTATTCATCTGATTATTTAGATTTAATTTTACAGAATTTTGTTTTGAAACATTATAAGTGCACATTGTCAGGAAAATGGATCATTCTTTTGCCTTTGAAAACATGGGCAGAATAGACTAGCATCACAAGTGGTGTGAAACTATAAGAAATCTTCTTGTTCTTACCTCAGTTGCATAAGTGTTGCCTTTTTTGCTCTTTGACGTTTGAGTGTATTACCCTGTCAGAAGCTTAGTACTTGGGAAAATGATTATGGTTGGCAGTGACCCCAAGGTGCTTATCAGCTACTGGAAAAGATATAGGCTGTTTAACCTACTGTAATTTTTACATGAATTATTACAATTTTATGTGGAGATAGTGGTGATATGGGTGGGGTGGAAAGAACTTTTGTAAGTGTTGTTAGGATGCATGAATTTCTCTCAAAACTGGTTCTTGTTTGGCAAAATCTCAGCATTGATTCTTCCCATTCTTCCCAAGTAGACAGTGCTGTTGGTTTCATAATATACTTGGTTGAGTTTTAAGTTGTCTTATATTTTTGTCCTTTATGTCTTGCACTAGTAAGTGCATATTGAATAAATGAATGAATAAAGCAGTTACGTATTAAACTCAAAACTAAAATGAGGGTTTTTTAATGCAAAGAGGAAAGAAAATTGAAATTAACCTGAAGCATCTTCATTTTGCTTTGTTTATGTTTATATTGCATGACAGTAAAAATAAAACAATTCTCAAACAATTAAACATCTGACTGAGCTTCGGTTTAGTCTGGGAATACTTTCAGCTTTCAGATTTGTTCTATTTCTGTGGTTTTAAAAGATAAAGATTCTTTGGGTATCCACTTATTTCAGAGGGTAAGTAATGGATTTTCACTCTTTCTTTAATTGGAAAAATTAAAGAACGTCAAAGGTTAAATGCTCTTGAAAATTGTATTTTGGTCCCTATTGATATTGATCAACTTTAATACATTTCATTCAGATGTTTATAGAATAGTTATATAAACAAATAAATAAAATAGAAATGTATTCTATTCTAGATGTTAGCATCTAATCAAGGTAAATAAAAATTCTACAATTTCTAAGTTTTCAACATCAAAATATGATTTTGTAGTTATTGTGAAATTAGCAGGGACATTGGTGACATTGGTAACTTATAAGCAGCTGGCTGTGCTTACCTTCATACTGCCATGGAATCTGTTTTGAAAGTACTCAGAACCTGGTGGACATGTGGATTATATTGGGAGAAGCTGTGACTAGTAAAAATGACTTAGCAGATCTGTAAGCAAATTCTTAGAAAAGGCTGGTCTGTCTATTTTTGCCTAAATTTTAATTTTGTCTCGTTGCCTTATATTCTACAGGTGATTGGTTAGGGTTAATAAGCGTAATCTGTTGGAATGTTAATGTGTTATTAAAACTTAGTCAAGTTGGATTGTTTAATTCCTGGCAGACAAGTTTTAATTGAGGGAGAAGGGAATTCAGTCATTTTGAAGTGTGATGTACTGAGGATGACAAATCACTGCCAGGATTTACAGTAAAGAGTTGAGCACCCTGGGTACCAGGAGAGCAGGGGGATGCTAGGTAATAGGAGAGGGTTATACGGTGAGAGGTAAGAAGAAAACAAAGATATGCTTCTTCCCTCTGTACTCAAAGAGGAGGAAGAAAATGCCATTTTTCTTCTCTCCTGTTCAGTTCCCAGACTACCATTTACACAGGACCTTATTATGTTGGATTCTGTTCTAATTGTTTCTATAGCATTGTCTCATTTAACCCTCAGGAAAAAATATATGAGATTGGTGGTGATATGTCTGTTTTACAGATGACAAAACTGAGGCACTGCAAGGTTAAATATTTTCTTTTTTCTCTTTTTTTCAAACTTTTTTTTATTGAGTTATAGTCATTCTACAATGTGTCAAATTCCAGTGTAGAGCACAATTTTTCAGTTATACATGAACATACATATATTCATTGTCACATTTTTTTTCACTGTGAGCAACCACAAGATCTTGTATATATTTCCCTGTGCTATACAGTATAATCTTGTTTATAGATTCTATGTTTTGAAATCTCAGCCTGTTCCTTCCCACTCCCGCCCCTTCGGCAACCACAAATTTGTATTCTATGTCTTATGAGTCTGTTTCTGTTTTGTATTTATATTTTGTTTTTTGTTTGTTTTTTCTCAGATTCTGCATATGGAATCTTTCTCTTTCTGGCTTACTTCACTTAGAATGACATTCTCCAGGGACATTCATGTTGCTGCAAATGCCGTTATGTTGTCATTTTATGGCTGAATAGTATTCCATTGTATAAATATACCACATCTTCTTTATCCAGTCATCTGTTGATGGACATTTAGGCTGTTTCCATGTCTTGGCTATTGTAAATAGTGCTGTTATGAACTTTGGGGTGCAGATGTCTTTTTGAAGTAGAGTTCCTTTTGGATATATGCCCAGGAGCAGGATTCCTGGGTCATATGGTAAGTCTATTCCTAATCTTTTGAGGCATCTCCATACTGTTTTCCACAGTGTCTGTACCAAACTGCATTCCCATCAGCAGTGTAGGAGGGTTCCCTTTTCTCTACAGCCTCTCCAGTATTTGTCATTTGTCGACTTTTGAATGATGGCCATTCTGACTGGTGTGGGGTAATACCTCATTGTAGTTTTCATTTGCATTTCTCTGATAATTAGTGATATTGAGCATTTTTTCATGTGCCTGTTGATCATTTATATTTCTTCCTTGGAGAATTGCTTGTTTAGGTCTTCTGCCCAGTTTTGGATTGGGTTTGTTTTTTTTCTTATTAAGTCATAATGAGCTGCTTATATATTCTGGAGATCAAGCCTTTGTCGGTTTCATTTGCAAAGATTTTCTCCTATTTCATAGATCGTCATTTTGTTTTACTTATGGTTTTCTTTGCTGTGCAGAAGGTTGTATGTTTAATTAGGTCCCATTTGTTTATTCTTGCTTTTATTTCTATTGCGTGGGTAAACTGCCCTAGGAGAACATTTTTAAGATGTATATCAGATAATATTTTGCCTTTATTTTCTTCTAAGAGGTTTATTGTATCTTATCTTATGTTTAAGTCTTTGATCCATTTTCAGTTTATTTTTGTGTATGGTGTAAGGGAGTGTTCTAGCTTCATTGATTTACATGCTGCTGTCCAGTTTTCCCAACACTATTTGTTGAAGAGACTGTCTTTATTCCATTGTATATTCTTGCCTCCTTTGTCAAAGATTAGTTGACCAAAAGTTTGTGGATTCATTTCTGGGCCCTCTATTCTGTTCCATTGGTCCATATGTCTGGTTTTGTACCAATACCATGCTGTTTTGATTACTGTAGCTCTATAGTATTGTCTGAAGTCTGGAAGAGTTATTCCTCCAGCCTCTTTCTTTTTCTTCAGTAATACTTTGGCAATTCTAGGTCTTTTGTGGTTCCATATAAATTTTATTATAATTTGTTCTAGTTCTGTGAAATATGTCCTGGGTAATTTGATAGGGATTGCATTAAATCTTAAATATTTTCTTACTAAATACTGTTAGTAATGATAAGGACATGATAGTCTCTCTGACTGCAAAGCTTCATCTTTTTAACCATCACACTGTACTAACTCTGAGTTCCACATATGAACACTTCCTCATATACAAATAAATTACAGTTTGCTAATATAGCTGAGTTATAAATATAATTGTGGAACTCAGTGTTTCATAAATTATGTATTTTTTTAGTTTGGGAGATACTGTTGCATAATATTTTCTAAGTATGGATTTTTCTTTTTGTAATTATTTAGATGATATTTAACAACTATAAAATCTTGTCCTCTGAGAGGTTATAATTTAGTATAGGTTATATAATAATTACCATTCTCGTTTCATTTAGGCTACTGCATTTTGTATTTTCCTACATAATTTAATGAGTGGGAAGCAGGTATTTTGTTTAGTTATGACTGAGTAATTGAGAAGAAGCCTGGGAACAGAATGTTGAAGTGATTTATGAACAAATTTTATTGACTCTTTTCTGGGTGTGAGTTGATTTGAGTACTAAGTTTCCAAATTTCAAAGTTTCTACATTCCAAAGAGTGTGTTATCAGTCTTCGGCCTGAGTGTCAGGCTGCTAACCATGTAACTTTATTCTTTTAATGACAAGTTTTATTTATGAGGAAAAATTAGGCTGAAGTAGAAAAATATGTTTTATGTTGAAATTCAACTACCAGGATCTTTAAAAATCCAATAAAATAAAATAAAATAGAAGAAAAGCATACTAATTTCATATTTATAGTAAAAATCAGACCTATCATTAGGTATTGCTAACTTTGTAAGAAAATGACCTCTCACATTACTATAATTTTGAGATCTTCTTTGAATGAACAAATCCTCTTCGTTACTATAGGTAAGAGTAACTTTCCTACAGCAAGACTAATGTCAAACCACCTGGGTTCAAATTCTAGCTGTTGTTTCTTTAGTGTCTTTATATATAAATGGAGGATAGTGATTACACGTGAGTTATAGGATTGGTTTGAAAATTAAAAGACATTAGCATACTCAGTGCAAAGAGCTTACGTAGTATGTAGCACATTGATAGTATTCAATAAACATTCTGTTACTGGTAGATTAAAATTTGTAATAACATTTCCCTCAATTCTGGATAAGGTCATTTTATTTCAGTTTGAATCCCACAGCTCTTAATATGAGAACTGTTGTTAAAACACTTGGGTAATTTCAAAAGCAGCTTTATGGATCATAAGAGACATAGGAAAGGTTGCAGATATTTTAAAAATTGTTTTTGTTTTGTGAAGAGCTCATATTCAACTACATAATCTGTACACTGAAAAATAGCAGGGAGGCATGCTAAATAAAGTTTTGTTGTTGATAATTTTTATCAAATCATTTTTGTCTGTTATCTTTGTTCTGTCAGTTCTTGCAATGTGGAAGGCTTATCTTGTATTCAGTCCAGTGATCGATTTAATTGGCTCTGCAGTATTTAGGATGAGGCTGCTAGGCCAGGATATATCTGGCAGTAGGAGGACACAAGCTTCAATGTTGAGGATTACTCTGCCGCATCTCCATTGTGTTCTTTCTAAGTACCAACACAGCTTGGTCCCCTGGCAGTGAGATACAATAAACGTCACTATCAACCTTTGTAAATGTTAAATAAAAGAGCAAATTGAAGGGCAGTGATTAATTAGGAAAGAATTTGGTCTGAGCAAATTAACTCTTATTTTTCTGTTAACCCTTGTTAAAGAATCACTGACTGTGTGTCTTGAGTCTTTGTATGATTGAACTAAGAACTACACAGATGAAGGGCCTCTATTCCCTTTAATAGGTGCTTTGGATCTAGAATACGTGCTGTTCATTTGAAATATCTTTTTCTCTCTTTTTTTCTTTTTCTTTTTTAATTATACTTTGACATCTGGCCTATTTGTTCAGCCTCAGACAGTAATGTTTACCTTAATTTACAGTGCAGTTGTCAGAGACCTTCTGAACTTCATAACTGTGGAAACATTTTTCGTCATAGATTTTTCAGTCAGTGGTTGCATTGTTGGTGTGTGTAACTTCCTCAGACCCACCTACCTGGATCAAATTACTCATCATTCTACTTCAACGGTCTTGCCAGGCAGACAGCCAAACAGCTAATGTATTTTCAGATTTTTGTATCTAATATATATCAAACCAAAAACTAAGAAAAAAGAATTAAAAAGAGTATACTTCTCATAAT